GCATGTATATTCAAGGAAGATGTTTCTGACATTCTGACTCTCATATTAGTAGAAAAACATCATTCGAATCCTCATTTATGTATACTATCTTGAATTTCCTTACCTCGTTTTCAGCTTGATGGTTGTTTCGTGAAACGATTCTGCGAAATCATTCTTGCAATTTACCTTCTCGTTTTCTCTTCTTTATAGTTCTTGAGTAATGTGCGAATGATTTCCCATTTTTATGATGAAAACAAGAGCAGAACAATTTATCAAGACGTCCATTAAGCCAAAGACGGAGAGAAGAGGTTCCAAAAAATCTAAAGAAATAAGTATACCTCCTCTTCGATCAACATACTGACATTATTGATACCATTGAAATAACAAGTGAGCAAATAATTCGGAAATCAAGGAGGATCAAACGAAAATCATATGAACAAAGTCGGCGAAATCACTCCATAAGTACTATGAATGAATACAAAAAGATCAAAGTCATGTTCACACAATGTTCAATGGTATTAGATTTCGAAAATAACTATTTTCCTGGCAGATTCCACGCAGAACATTGAATTGTATCATCCCGAAATCTATGCATCGGAACGAATACTGATACTACAGGGTGTTTCAAAAAAACTCAACCCCCTCGCTAGGGTAGGTAGAACATTGCAAAATAAGTTGGGTGTGCCCAGTAAAAAAATATCGTAACGCCATCCGTTTTCAAGATACAAAGTGTTGAAACAATATTTTTTACACATTTTTTACGATTATCTTGAAACTACTGACAACATTGTGATGAAATTTTGTATGGATGTTTCTTGGAATCTGACACATCGGATGCATTTTTTTTTTATATCTGACTCTCATAGAGGGCGCTAGTTACACGGTTCGTACCGAGTAGTTTTGAACATAACTTTTTTGAGGTTAGATTTTTCAATCCAAATTTGATGTGAACTTGAACATCATTCAATTTCACACCAAAAAAGTACTCTTGGTAAAACTCGATACTGTGTTCCGTTCTCGGAATATTTCGATTTGAAAATGATGAAGTGGTAACTGTTGCTGGTATAAAGCTATGTAGAGTGGGTGTTATGAAAAATTATCACCTATTTATTGAAAACCGAAAACAACAATACATTTCTGATGCAAAACTCATTGATTTAACAATGAATCACAAGAATTACATCGAAACAGATTTGACTAAGAACATGGATTACACAGTTTTGTTGTATCTTGAGCAGAAAGTCGATGCTACATTGGTAAATGCACGTCAAGAGTTGTGAGACATAATTGAACATCACTTAAATGACCGAACAGCTGATCATTAACTGTTCAGAAGAATAATACATTCTTGAAAAAATATATAGAATCGTGTATTCCTCGAAACGTAGAACATTTTGAACACCTACTCTAACTGATTCAATATTTCATGTTTCTAGTCAAATATCTCTTAATTTTCTAGTTATGATTCTTTGTTCCATCAATGACTTCATCACAAGAATAATTTTATTGATTTTCAGCCTGAATAAATAGGTAATTGAACTCAATAAAATTCATTTTATATGAGTGTCATTACAACTCCAATATTTTCAAATCGAAATATTCCGAAAACAGAACATGGTATCGAGTTTTATCAAGAGTACTTTTTTGGTGTGAATTTGAATGATGTTCAAGTTCACATCATATTAGGATTGAAAAATTCAACCTCAAAAAAGTTATGTTCAAAACTACTCGGTACGAACAGTGTAACTAGCGCCCTCTATGAGAGTCAGATATGAAAACGAATTCATGCGATGTGTCAGATTTCAAGATACATCCATACGGAATTTCATCACAATGTTGCCAGTAGTTTCGGAATAATCGTGAAAAATGTGTGAAAAAAATAATTTTTTCAACACCTTGTATCATGAAAACGGATGCCGTTACGGCATTTTTTTTCACTGAGCAAACCCAACTTATTTAGCAATGTTCTACCTACCCTAGCAAGGGGGTTAGGTTTTTTAGAAACACCCTGTAGATTTCGGGAGGATGTAATTCAATGTTCTACATGGCATTAGCCAGGAAAGAAGTTGTATTTCTCTCGAAATCTGCCAATATCGTTTATTTTATGAACATTGTGTGAACATGACTTTGAGCTCTTTGTATTCATTCAACATTTCACTCCACTTTTAGCATTGTTACTGATTATAGACTCCAAGATTTCTGAACATATAACTTAACATATGAACATATTGACAAATATTGCGAGGATGAGTTAGAGTTTCCTTCCCTCCGTCAGTTATACTAGACAAGATATCTGTTTCTTCCTGTTTCAAAAACACCTCAGAATAAAACTGTTCAACTCGCAGATAAACATCAGATTGGATCCAGTCAAAGTTCATTGATATACACTCAATAAAGGGACGACCAAGAGTATGTTGCCCCTCTTCTCTCGTAACTTCTTCATTTTACATCACAGAACAATTTTGGAAGCTTTCAAAAGGTGAGTGCTATTCAGGAAGAATCTCAATGTCACAGATACGTTGCCTATTTCGAAATTCTTTCAATGTTCTGCTTCTAGCTATGATATATAACCCACCCATTATTTTTGTGATTCGTAAAATATGAAAACAATCTGTATTAACGCATCCCTTCTACTTTTTCACATATTATGGAATATAGATACAGTTTGATCGCATTTCAATATGCCACCAGAACAAACCTGAAATCTGAGTAGATAACATGAGTAATTCATATTTTCATTTGAATTTGTTCCAGTCCAAGACTTGTTCAGTTCTCAACTTACTTTGATAACTACTAATAACAGCTGAAAATCAATATGCTCACTGATTACACTGATTGACCTGTTCACCATGATTAACAACAAACTAAATGGCTGGTATGGAATTGAATCGACATTCGACAGTTGACACAGTCACTTTGCCGTAGAGAAAAAAAAATCCCCCTGTATTCTGTAAACATGTAAGCTACGTTATAAGGTAGTGAGACGCAAACGTTGCATGAAAAACATAACAACTCTGTCTGAGATATATCCGAACTACCGAAATTCAACATATTACAATATCATCCAACCAATCCCCAAAAAAGGGCACAAGAACCTGTCCAACAACTACAGGTCCATTGCCCTCTTATCAATTATCTCCAAAGTGATGGAGAAAGCCATCAATATTGAGCTTTTCAAATATCTGGAGAGCTCGAAAATCATCAATGATAGACAATACGGCTTTCGCCACCAAATATCTACTGGAGATATACTTGCCTACGTCACCCATTTATGGCAAACTTCATTAGAAAAACACGGGGAATCTCTAGCTGTCGCGTTGTAAATATCGAAAGCATTTGACCGTGTTTGGTACGAAGGACTCCTCCACAAACTATCACCGCTTACCACCTCAGCTGTGCCATCTCTCATCGAGTTTTCTTTCAGGCAGATCGCTTCATGTGGTGGTGGACGGTGTATCGTCTGATACAATTGGCATCAATTCCGGCATTCCACAAGGATCAATTTTGGCACCAACATTATTCCTTCTTCATATCAATAATCTGTTGGGAGTAACAACTTGATTCATCCACAGCTTTGCAGATGATAGTACCCTCCATACCGCGTTCTCTTCCAGAATTCCCATTTGTTCCCAGGAAACTAAGAACTCATGGCGCAGGCAGGTCAATGCTGTCAATGGAGACCTTGCTGAAATTACAGCCTGGAGAACCAACAACCTAGTTGAATTCAAAGTCACCAAAACTCAAGCCTGTTTTATCTCTAGAAAGGCGGAACTCAGTAGGCCCGATATTGTAATGTCTGGCTCCACCATTCCCACCAAGCTCACCATATCTATGCTCGGTATTTCCATCAGCAACACTCTTCCATGGGATAATCATGTCAGATCCATCGCAAAAGCTGCTTCACAAAAACTTGGATTCTTGTTCCGTGCGAAAAGTTGCTTTACACCTCAACAGCTTCTCATGATCTACAAAGCGCAGATACGGCCTGTTCTATAATACTGTTTTCACATATGGGGTTCAGCACCAAAACATACGCTGATGCTCCTTAGATTCCATCCAGAGAAGAGCCATTCGCCTGGTCGGGTGACGCCACACTCACTCACTCTTTGACATCATTGGAACACCGTAGAAAGGTCGGCGACCTTACACTCCTCTATCGATACTTCCACGGGAAATGTTCTTCGGAAATCTCTGCTATCATCCCTTCACTAGCAATACCAATCAGACAAACTAGACAAGCCCAGTCAGCACATCCTTTCGTTGTCAACCTCGAAAGATGTCGAACAGCACTTTATCAAAACTCCTTCATCCATAGAACGGCTAGGCTCTGGAATGCATTGCCTGAGGAAGTATTCCCAACAACATATAATCTCCAGAAGTTCAAAAAAAATTCCAATACCTACCTCCTGTCCCTATCCTCCCTAGTAACGCACGATGTTCTTTGAACATTAAAGGGATCTCCTTTCGTGCGCTTCAAGCGATAAAAAAAAGTCATTCAATAATATTGATTTCAATATCGATGCAACGTCTCATGAACCTTTCTCTTCATAATATCATGTTGGATACTTCCGAAAGACAGGATCGCAATGTTATTTCAACAATATCACAGAACTCATATCTAAAAAATATTTTTGTTATGTACTCATCATGTTCAGTGAGATGTTAATTAACTTTAGTGCATGAATGCAATCAAAATATATACATAATGATACCCTCCAAAAGGCAAACTGGGTGAAATCACGTCGTCGGTTCTATAGATACGAGCGATGTTCTGACAATATAGGAATTTCCTTTCGTGCGCCCCAAGAGAGAAAAATGTACTTTTCAAAAACACTGTACAATAGTGTACATAATCTTTCGTCCCGATTATTTGTAGAATCTTTCATGTTTTTGCTGGTACTCCAGTGTGATTGGAGTTTCATACCAAAAATTCGGTACTTCTACCGGACTATATAAATGTTTATAATATGGACTCGTTATGTGGGCGCACTTTACAGCAGCTTCCAGCTCGCATAATCTTCGCGTTTCTCTGTGGTTCTTGGAGATATAAACAGTCGCTTGCAGTTCGTGTGTGAGTGCATGAGAAAACGTAGGGATTGAATCAAGTAAGTCTAACGAATAAACCTTGTTTCGATATATATACAGTTTGCACAAATCTTTTTACAACACAATGATTGTGAAGTTGTTTCATGAACTGTCCTCAGACAATTGACTGAGATTCTACAGGGTTGAAAAAAAAATTCAATTATAATCCAGGGAACAGGGTAACTATGTTTGATTCAAAGATGATAAATGCCATCATATCTTTTATTCTGAATGTAATATCCTATTCATTTATATACGGAGTATCAATAAATTAATGATCGTAACATCGTGGTTAGTGGCTGTTGAAATGATTATTCTACGAGTTTTTCTACTTGCTGGTTTCTACTAATATTAATAGCAACATTGAAACAACACAGAGGAGAAAGAATGAATCCATATAGGATCTTTTTGACGATTGTGAGTCCATCAACTATAGTGATATTCTTCAATCTGAACTAACTGAAATATTCCACTAGAACTGAAATGAATCAGTTAATATGAGTTCTTTGGAATGACTTTGATTAGGTACAATGCATGTCGACTATTGATTCAGTTCAGTTCAAGTGGAATGTGTCAGTTAGGTCAGAACGAAAGAATATCACTATTGATAGTAATGATTGTCAGAAATGACAAACAGATTTTGGTCCCTCTATAACTGGAGGACGGTGAATAGAGAAAGTATGTCGAAGGCAACTACGATTTATTAATCATCTATAGAAACCCTGTATGATTTTATAGTCGGTTAGGGCTTCTCAATACGAATCGAATGATAATTAAATTTCATCGAGAAAGGTGCGTGAATTGACTACGAATGTATTAGCCTCGGTATTAGAGCTGCACACTATTTAGGTAGAGCTGAAAACTCCTGCAGTGGTCTCCACCTTTTCGATGTAATCTTTATTTCGAAATAATACATTTATTATTGATATCTTCATTATTATTATTTCATTTGCCACATGAGTGTGACGAAGAAGTATCTTTGAATGAATAATCTCACCTCACAGAGCAAATGATATAGAGGTTGAGTAGGTATCGAAAACCGAGTCGAAAACCCCTCATTAAATATGGACGAGAATATGGAATAGAAATAGATTTTCCCTCTCTCTAGATTTCATAAATATGAAATGAGTATCATTTCAATGTACAACTCCTTTTGAGTAATTGTACATAGGGGTGTAGTATGTTTTTGACATTGAAACTTTACGATTTGAGCTATCTTTATTTTATTTTTCAATAAGTATCTCAGAGAATATTGTTTTCCCAAAATAACAGATAAAAATCAATATTGTGTGGTTCTAGCCAGGAGAGCAGTTGTTTTCTGTTATTCAAGCTATTGTTCCTGCACATATTTTTTTATTTTTTTCTAATCGGTCATTCGCACTCGAGTTCGCACTATTTGACATATATATTTCGATATTCTTTGGTACGTGCCTGGAAACTAGATGTCCTTTGTTATATATTTTGGAAATGTTCCCATATATTTTCTCAATATTCTCATATTCTTGATAGTTCAAGTTCATGTAATCGCGTGAAAAAAATGTAATCGATCGAACGTCACCAATGTCAATTAATATCCTGAGCATTGACTTCATCACAGAAGACTCAATACGAAATCATATATTAGAGCTAGACAATAATAAAAGTGCTGGACCAGATGGAATACCCAAGATATTCATCAAATCCTGTGTTTCTTCGCTTACCATACCTCTGCATCTGATTTATAACAAATCTCTTTCACACGGAGTTTTTCCAAGAATCTGGAAAAAGGCACATGTAGTTCCAGTATTTAAAAATGGTAAAAAGGATCAGGTCAGTAATTATCGCCCTATATCTTTATTATCATTATTTGGTAGAATTTTCGAAGCAGTTATAACTAAAGAATTATTTTTCAAAATCAAGCACTGCATAAATGAGAATCAACATGGTTTTCACCAGGAAAGGTCAGTAATCACAAACTTGATGCCGTTCATACAAAGTATTTACGAATCAATGGATGGACATCACCAAGTTGATGCCGTGTACACTGATTATTCTAAAGGTTTTGATAAAGTCCATCATCCCACTTTGCTAGTTGAACTAAACAACTTCGGTGTACACGGCAAACTTCTGACTTGGTTGAATTCCTACTTAGAAGGCAGAACACAATCTGTGGTAATAAACGGGACTGAATCAAATTTCTCAAAAATTACATCCGGCATTCCTCAAGGCTCTCACTTGGGCCCGATATTATTTGGCCTCTTTATAAATGACATTGGTTCCTGCTTTCATAGATCGCACTACAGTTTGTATGCTGATGATCTGAAAATCTTCTCCTTCATCACGTGTCCGAACGACTGCCTGGAGGTTCAGGATGACTTAAACAGGCTTTGTATATACTGTCAATCCAATAGATTATTTTTCAATATCGACAAATGTTACACTATTACTTTCTCCAGGCTGAAAGACACCATACATCACACATATAATATTAATAATAATAATTCATCAAGAGTCGGAAAAATTAAAGATCTCGGAATAGTATTGGATGAAAAGTAAACATTTGAACAGCATATAGATTCCATAGTTCGGAGATCACTAAAGAATCTTGGTTCCATATCTCGAGTAACGAAACAATTTCAAAATCCGCATTCATTAATAATACTGTACAATTCACCTAGAATATGGATCTTTATTATGGGATCCTTGTTACTACAAATATATGTATAGATAGAATCGAAAGAGTCCAAAAAAAATTTTTGAATGTTCTTAACTACAGATATAACAGAGATCTTCAATTTTTGCCGTACGAACGTAGACTAAATCACTACAAAATGTGCAAACTAACCTCTAGGAGACTGGTTGCGGGTATGATATTTCTGTACAAGCTATTCAACAATAAAATTGATAGTACCGAAATATTGAGAAAAATAGATATACGAGTCAAATCCGTTTCTTCTCGCTCCTGTCACTTGTTTTATGCACCCTATTTCACTACGAAGTATGGAAATAACTCACCCATCAGCAAACCACAGAGAAATTATAACACTTTTTTCAATCAGATTGACATATTCAATATCACCTTGCGTAGCTTGAAAGTTATATCATACTCTATACTGGGTCAGCAGCAGTGACAGTGAATTAAATATTTCCAAACTATAGAATGTAAATTGTTCAAAATCAAAATACTCATCTATAGCATAACATAAAAATATACTACTATTAAGGCATTTTCTTTTTTAGCAAATCAGTTTTTTTTTCTTTTTGTTTCAGTTGTATTTTGCTCTCATGCTATTACTTTTATAGTACGACTGATTTATTGTATGTGCCATTATTTTTCTTCGAGCGACCCTGTTATTGGCATTAAATTGTTCGTTGGGTTGCCAAATTGTTAAATAAATAAATAAGTAATTAAATAAATAAAAATAATTGGAAAATTGCATTTTTTTGTGCAGTACTCCGCCGTGAATTTCAAAAATATGTAAACGAGATGAGAATCATCCCATCCGATACCAAATGAATGGATCTACCTCCAAACCCCATACCTGTGCCACCCTTTGTCTGAGTGAAATCTTTCGCCACAGCGATATTTTTGCTTCCGTTATTCCGAACATACTTCTCCTGATAACAAGATGAAAATATAATATGCATATAAATGGGGATGATATTTCCTTTGCGAATTTCCAAACGTGCGTGTTTCGAACTGATTTAAGTTGGTGGCAAGAGCATTCATATTCCTGAGAATATTTCTCCCCTCTCGAAAGATGATGTCCGAACCACCAGAATATCGTACTGATTCATTTATCAATTTATCTATTCATTTGTTTATTTATTCATTCATCTATTCATTCATCTTTTTATTCATACATTTAATTATTCATTTATTTGTTCTATATTTATTTATTTATTTATTTATTTATTTATCCATTTATTTATTCATTTATTTATTTATTTATCTATTTATTTATTCATTTATCCATACAGACCTTATGGCCTATCAACATGGATCAATTCATAAATTTATGTATGCATACATTTTAAAGCAAAATAGTACATTTTCATCATACCATGATGGACCATCGCCTGGAAAATCACACTGAAATACTTACTATTAAGTTTGGATGTACTCATGTCATCCCAACGAGCACAAAAATGTGGGCTTTGGTCTTGGGTAATCATTGCTGTCACATTCACACTCTCACGCTCTAGCCTGATTGCCATCTCAATTGTCATATCATTTCGTCTCAACATCTGTTCAATCATTTCGAATGTCACATTTTGTGACTGAGTTCTAACATACATTTATTATCCCGTAGCCAATAAATATATACTTATTCCAACATGCATAATACTTTTTATATAATTCGAGTCTGATACTGATATAAGTCCGACTGCCCTTTATCTTGGAGAGGTATTGACCTCCCTCAACCACATGTTAAATTTTTGTATCGTAATTGCTATCAATATTATCATCCTCAATGGATATTTGGAATCTAGTAACAAATTTCTGCTTTCTTCTGTACAAGCTGCGAGGAATTATCTTTATTATCCTGACTCGCGGTAGATTTTTGTCCTCCTAGAGCGCACGGAAGTAAATCCTTATCATGCTCGAGAAATATCGTACATACCTGGAGAGAATATTGGGAGAAAAGATAGAGATCGGAATTTCATCGTCACATTTGTGGAAACAAACGAGTTTCGGTAAAAAGTTGTTTGCCTTATCTCAAGATTGCTAACTGGGCTTGTCTAGCGGAGATTTCTGATCTCTCATCATTTTCACCTCTCGATACCTTGAAATCAATCTGACTATCATCTCGTAACCTTGTAATAATTGAAGAAAGGAAAATCTCCATGTCATCTCCACGATTTTTAATGACGAAGTGAATTACAAAGGAGGAGTGTGACATGTTTCGGGTTTATCATAAGCCCATCATCAGCCAAATATATCAAAAATCCTACAACATTACTTAGTGTTCATGAAATTGTTCAAGATAAGATTATATATATTGTACTTACATGGATAGAAAAAGTTACATGTATAATA